TAGCAGACGGGACGGTGGGGGGGACAGTGGCAGAGACCCCCGCAGGTCCCATCGTTTAGGGGCCTCTCCCACGGGAGGGCGTGGGCTCCTCCTAGACCGGCCTGGGCTCCTGGTGCAGACCCTCCCTCCCTCGAGAGTGGGCCCCGCGTGTGGCCGTCACAGCCCTGCCGTCATCATGGGGCTGGGCCCAGGGAAGGAAGCCAGTGGGTGCTCTTGCTCTTAGGCCCAGAGGTGCTGCTGGACGGAGGGCGGAGCGTCGGCCCCCGCTCTCCGTCAGGCCCGCTCCGCGGTCTGGTCCCCTGGGCCTGGCCCCGAAGGCCTGGACGCCCGTCTGTCCTGTGCCATCACTGCGGTTCCGCCAGGGCCCCTGCTGCGGTCCAGCCGCTCGTGGCCGCAGGGCAGGGGCGAGGCTGTCTGGCTCCGGGGTGGGCTTGCTCCCCACTCCGGTCACTCTGAGTCACTCAGCACCGAGCACGGCCGTCTCGCATGGGGCTACGTCCCTCAGGGGAGGACCTGAGACGCCCCAGGCTGTCCCCTCCCATGAGGCCCGTAGTGCCAGGCCACCCAGCTGCAGGAACACGCAGGGGACACCAGTGAAGCCCGCACAGCTCTCTGAAACCCACCTCCCCACTCGGGGTGTGGAGGACCCCGCCCAGCAATCCCACGGCACCCTGACTCTGACGCAGACGCCAGCCTCGCCCCGTGGGTCCCAGGGGTGTCTGAGCCCCGAGCTGAACCCACCAGCTCCACAGGGTCAGGGGGCCCCGTTTCTCCTGGCCTCTTGGGACTGCGGCCAAATTAGCAGGAGAGTCTCACTCCCACATCCTGCAGTCCGGGTCAGAGGTCAAGGCGCAGGCGGAGCTGCAGGGAGGGCCTCGGAGGAGGGGACGGGAGGAGGGGATGGGAGGAGGGGAGGCTCTGGGAGCTGAGCCCCGCCTCCCCCTCTCTGCCGTCCCCAGCCCCAGGGAGAGCAGCCGAGCTGGGCACTGCTGGCACCTCGGCAGAGCCCCCGCTGCTCCTGCTCCGAGGGGCGGGTCTGTGCGGGTGTCCCAGGCCCCCTCTCCGGGGAGACTCCCGGGGGGAGGGGAGAGATGGGGCTGAGCACTCCCCGGCTCCCTGCAGGGGGCGCTCAAGGCTGCCCCCACATCTCTGCTCCCCTCTGCCCCGCCCTCCCCAGCTCCAGGAACGGCTTCCGCTCCCCCCTCAACTCAGCCTCAGCCCTTCCCTGCTCCCGAACATTCTCGGGTTCCCCGATGAGCCATGTTGTCCTGCGGGGCCGGCCTCCCGTCTTCCCCCCACACAGCCCTGTCCAGCCCCACGGCCCGCTCTGCCTCAGGGCACCCTGGCCTGGGGTGGGGCCAGCACCCCACGCACTCCGCGATCCTGGGTCCCTGGACCCGCTGGGCCGCCGCCCTCGGAAGTCGCTCCCACCCACCCTCGCGCTGGCCGGGCCGCCCTGCGCCCCGCGCTCCCCGAACCCCCTTTACCTCTTCCCGTCTACTTGGTGCCTTTTAAAATACTGCACGGCCGCTTTTCGGTTTACTGTGTACTCTGCGCCCCCCACCCGCCCCCGGAGGGCAGGTTCTTGTCCACTGCCCCTGGAGGTGCCTGGTGCCTGATTAGCACCCAGAAAGTATTTGCTGACTAATGCGCCCCGAATTCAGCAAGCTCCTCTCCCGCTCCTGCCCTCGCCCTGCGTCAGCAGAGCCCTGTGCGTGCACGACGCTACGGCTTGTGGTCCCGGCCCCGACGCTGTCCTGCCCTCGCCCTGCGTCAGCAGAGCCCTGTGCGTGCGAGCGGCCGCTGTGTCCCCAGCGCCCGGCTCCCTGCCCGCCCCACGCCCGGGGCAGCGGGGCCCCCGGCGTCCAGGCGTCCGGGCGCACGGTGCGCTCTGCTGCCCTCTGCTGGGCGCGCCTGGGAAGCGCGTCCTCTCGCAGGCGGGCCGGACACGAGGCTGCAAGACGCACCGAGGCTGGTACCGCTTCTTTGCCCCAGAGCTGCTGAGATCAGACGAAGCTGCCCGCGCTGCGGGCTCGTCTGCCGGCCACGGCGGGCGACAGGTCTCCGGGTTTTTAAGTCTTCCGTCCCGGTCGCTCCGTGAGTGAGCTTATCGCCGCGGGCCGTGTCTCCCGGTGGCTCCTGCCGCCTGGTCACTGGACTTTTCACCTCGTGGACGGTGAATGCGAATAAAAAGCCACCGCTTCCCCCGGGCTTCACGCAGCCCGTCCCGGGACAGCTCCTGCGAGGGGCAGGGGCGGGAGGCGAGGGGGACCGGGCGACCAGCCGCCCCCCGTCGGGACGTGGCTTTGCCGCAGGGCGCCTCCGCCTTTGCGCAGGAGCTGAACAGGTCGGTGTCTCGCTCTCTCGCCTGGGCCGTGCGGTTTAACTGTGACAACTGTCGGGCCAGTGCCTGGTGGCCCAAGACGGCGCCTTTTGGCCAGCTCGAGCCAGTGTCACGCAGGCCCGCTCCAAGCAACGAGCCCCTTCGTTCCGTGAAGCTTGGCGAGCAAAGATCCGCAGCTTCGAAAGGGAGCTCGGAAATTACTCGTGGCTC